TGTATAGAAGTTTCCGGATATATTCCTGCAATGGAGGTCTCTTCTTTCTCACAGTTTTTTCAGCTGGAGGTGGATTGCAGTAGTAATAGGCATTCTCAACCATAGTAACATATCGCGCATCCAGATGCATGGCTTGCTTCTTTCGCATCATTTGCTCCTACAATTAAAACGAGTTTCATTATCAGAGTCATCTGAATATGCCAAGGATAAGCAACGGTTAACAAAAACGTATAGTTAGCAACCAGATATGTTGCCGGTTTACCTTGCTGTTTTTACTACCATTTATCTCTAGTAAAAGTGCTTCAATGTTTACTTTTATGGACTATATGCTTAGAATAAACCTGTGGGTGAAACGTTAACATTTTAAAAAGGAACTTTAAGTTTGTCACAAACAAATAAAAGGGTTAATTTAAAATGTAAACACTTGAACAAGTAACTAAAGGGGTTATTTTATATTCATTTTGCTCAGTGTGAGCTCATGGAAGAGAAAGCAAACAAGTTTATGATGTATTTTGGGACTTTAGTAGGTCACATATTTAAATTACTCCATAAATGCATACCATTTACAAAAGTGGACACCATGGGGACTCTAGTGGATATAGATTTTGAGCATTATTGATAGTGATGTCCCGAACGGTTCGCCGCAGACGGCGAACATAAACTTTGACCCTGCACCTCACAGTCAGCAGACACATTCCAGCCAATCAGCAGCAGACCCTCCCTCCCAGGCCCTCCCACCTCCTGGACAGCATCCATTTTACATTCGTTGTGAAGCTGCATTCTTAGTAAGCTGTCCAGGAGGTGGGAGGGTCTGCTGCTGATTGGCTGGAATGTGTCTGCTGACTGAAGTACAGGGTCAAAGTTTATGTTCACCGTCCGCGGCGAACCGTTCGGGACATCACTAATTATTGAGAATGCCATTCTCCCCCCCCCCCCCAAGTTTGTGGTGTTTATTTATATTTAAAAATGTTTACATATTTATTTTATGTAATTTGAAATGTGGACCGCAACTCTTGGACATTTGCTTCATCGATCAGATAAGATGATTCCAGGAGATTAGGGTCCTGTACAATTTTGCAAAAAAAATAAATAAAAAAAACCACAATACAAAAGCTCAGATTTATTCACAAAGCAGCAAACTATAGTGAAATTGTACATGAAAATTTAGGCTAAAAAAAAATTACAAAACTAGGACTTATAACCCTAGTTGGAAAGTTATTACAAAATCTGCCATTTTGACACATAAAACAGCAACAACACACACTTCAATTCAGTATTTAGTGAATGTGTGTAATTTAGATAATCATTAAAATAAAGATTTAGTGCGCATGTGCACCATACTTTCTCACACATAAAAAGTTTTAATACAGACTGAATGTGCAATTACACTTTTTTCTTAATAGAATCTATGCTTAGAAGTGGTCTTGAATGTAGTCCAATGACAGTTTGCTAATAAAGTGTAAGTTACACCAAATACACTATATTTAGCATGGTTAATATAGTAGCAATCTTACCAAGAGAACACTGGTGCGCAAATGTGAATCTGGAGATCGAAAGAGGAATCGTCCACATGTTTCTAGCAGGGTACATGCCATTTCAATATGGTGATGCGAAAAGTCAGAAAGCAGCATCTGTGGAAAGAAATTATATGCAAGTGCTTATAGATCATGTGTAAACTGCAGAGAGTTAATATAACCAATTGTGTTAATATTAATTGATGGTCCAGGACCCTGTCAATATTAATTGTATGTTGTACCACTAAAAGAAGAGTGTGTTTCCAATGCCAACCCGAACAGTTATCAAAAACAACCCAGCTCAGGAGTTAACTCAGGGCAGTATTGAGTTATGTGAACAGACCCCCAAGTTAGGCAATGTGTCCCATGGAAACCAATTTATTTCTGATGGGAAGATCAATAGATTTTAATAGCAAATGTAAATAATGAAGTGTTTTAACAAGAATGTTAAAATCCAACTCAGCTTTACTCTCTAACCTCGTTTCAGCTAACGGCAAACAGAAATAAATCATGGAAATCCAACACTTGTACAGATACTACATGTTCATTTAATATTAACAGAGACATCACAATATTAAATATCATAAGGACCTGTACCCTTTATAATAAATACAACTGAAATTAAAGTTCCCCCACTTACAAAATGGGATGCAAAAAAAAATAAAAAATTACATACAAACACAGCAACAAAGGTGAATTTTAGAAATGAAGACTGATAAAAACCTTCAAACAGTGCAGAGTATCTGTTTTGCAGAACATTTTAAACTTGGCAAGCTCTCCAATAAATCTCACAGTCTTGTTTTTTGTTTCAATATTGATTTGATCCTTCTTTCTCACCTGTGAGGGAAATATAAACGTCCATTAATTGAGGAAATAGAGTAAGTAAGCATTTAATAAGAAATACTGAAGGTGGATAAGCATGTAAAAAAAATTCAGTTTTGTTAACTTACAAATTCATATTTCAGTAAGAACATGCCCAAATAAGATTATCTTAATACACTGGATTTGAAGAGATTTTTAACTGTGAGAAGAATCGTTATGAAAGACACTCCTGCAATTTCCCTGTTAATATTAAAAATAGTTACCTCAAGCATCAAGTCCACTTCAGTAGCTGGTTATGGTGCAATGAGCCTGCATATGCAGCATTTCATACAGAAATGCTGTACACAGAGATTCAGGTTAGCTGGCAGTATAGTTAGCCAATCTGAGACAAAAGTTAAAGGGTCACTTCAAACACTGATTTGAAATGGTCATGGTGGTAGGAGTCTGAATGTGCCGTTTTTCAACTGGAAGTTATTTTTATTTTTTATTGTGGGCTGGGGGCACCCCTTGCACATTAGACATTGGCATCCCCCAGAACTCTGTTCCGGGCTGTCTAATGACAATTCTGTGAATACTTGACATCTATTATCAGCACGTACTGCATGCTGGTACAGACGTAATGAAGATTGCTTCCCCTCCTTCTGTTGCTTGTATTTATTTATTTAAAATAAAATCCTAACCTCCCTCCCAAACTCCATGCACCCTTTGTCTGCTCAGACTGCCAATATGCACTCTCAGCCAGCAAGACAGGCCAATTAAAAGCTCCTAAATTAAGCAAGGCCCACCCAAGCTCTCACACACAAAAATGTAGGCATGCATTTAGACTTCATTATAACTAAAAGAAAGAAAGAAAAAAAAAAAAAACCCACTTACATGAAAACGGAAATCCCCCTTTAACATCGAACAAAGGTCTTCAGCGATATCAGACATACATGGGTGCAAAGTGGCGACCAGCCTGGCATAGAATGGTAGAAGATCTAACCTGTGATGTGATTAGTGGAGAAGAAAAATAAGTATGAATCAGTTGCTCTTGTCCAGGATACCAAAATTTGCATATTAAACTAGACATATTATGCAAAAGTAATTTATTTTATTTTTATTTTATTTTTTTTTAAAAGCCTTAAAGAGGCCAAAGAACCATTACAGCTTGCTGAAAGGGACAGCAGAGAAAATTCAAGAATCCAGCTTAAATTTATACTATAAATTGAATATCTCCAAAACCCATGCCCTTTGTTACAATGTTGAGGATCAGGTAGTGAGTGGTCTACAAGACTCATTTCTATCTACATTCAGTATCTCCATGCTCTGCACAGAAGTGCTTAATGCTTCCAATAGGGTTGCACTGATTTAATTCATCTCGATTAGATGTTTATTAGCGCAGCATGGCGTTTTTCAAAACAGGAAGATTACAGCTCGCTCCCTTGCCGTTCGCATTTACTTTCACCAGAGTGCTTCCATGCTCCCTTGCTGCATGCCTGTATTGCTAGCCACCACCTGCCTTCACCCTCAGCAGGCCGCCTCCGCTGAAAGGGCTGACAAATACCCAGGACAAAATGATTAGACCCCATGGCGATTTGTCGAGCCCGGTCATAAACACCCAATAGCTGCCATGTCCCTGTTTGCTTAACATTGCAATGTAAAACACTGCAGGGTTTAGATGCCTCTAGAGCAGGGGTAGGCAACCTACGGCACTAGTGCCATGCACGGCACTCGAGGTGACTTTGCACGGCACTCAAGGCTGCTAGAGCCAAACAGGCTCTGGCCTATCAGGAGTCCCAGTAAAAATTCCAATATCTGCTAATACGAAAAGATGGTGAAGGACAATCCTCAATTTAAGCATTGCAGCACATAGAGGAAATGATCTCAGATCACTTCCTCCAAGCACTTGTGAATGGGAATCCACACCGTAGTAGAGCTGTTGTTATAGCTCCTGTCTTTGACCTGTACCAGGTCAGCCTGGTCCCCACTGGAACCCAGGGAAGCCAACCATACTGCTAGATATACACAGATATTGTGGATCAAACCAAGTGTTTATCTGAGTATCTGTTCCTTTCCAAATTGTTAAAAAAAAAATAAAATAAAAAAAATGCGTGCACGCTCTGAAGTAAATCACACTGAGACACAGGTATCAGGTTAATGAAAAACTTTGGAATGTTTACTCAGGGGGTGGCAAGCCCCTTATAAAGGCAAAAATACATCATATGCAAAAATGTAGATAACAGAAAGAATACATCTTTAATTGTTTAGGTGTTAAGTGTTTTATCTAATGCACATCCTACAAGGCGTGAGGTCACCATCATCCCGGGATTTTACTCCGGATGTAGGCGCCATCTTGTTACACGAGGTAGCTAGTCGGTGGGAAGGGGTGCTCTAGCAGCCATTTTGAGTAGATATTGAATACGGGTATACACAGTAAATAGACATTTTACTATCACTAATTTACATTCATAAACACAGAAATGAAGAATAACCCTCCCCTTATACAAATAATACGAACAGCCCACACACAAACATACAATCTACACAAACGTAACCCGCTAACAATCCACATATATGCACACAACCCCACATGCAGCCTCTCACATGCAATACCCCAAACAGCCCACACACATACACACACCAAACACACAATGTGACATATCCATCCACACACAATTCCACACACAATTCCACAAGCAGCCCTCATACACAGCCCACATTCATATGTATCATATACAATACCATAAACTACTAATGAACATATACAATATAATAGCTCCTATATGCACAAATACAACGATGCAAAGCAACTGCAGTAAAAATAACACAAGCAGAATATGGCCGCATACACACCTCAATTTAAAAAAATAGGACCGGCATGCTATCGGACATCACAATCCTATATCGGCACAGTGCTGCTAGAAGGTTGCCTACCCCTGCTCTAGAGGATATCACTCAGACCTAAGCACCTAACATGGCACTATAGTGTAAGAAATATACATTTGTATTCCTAATTCTATAGTGTTTCTTAAAGGTTTACAGATAAATATACTAACAAACAAACACAGGTAAACTAGATAAACGTCTAAAACCATTACCACAACCAAGTAAAATGAAAATGACACAGTGTTTTAATACAGTCTTTCCCCGAATAGAAGACAGGATCTTATATTAATTTCTCCCCTCCAACCTTCCTATTTTCAGGGTAGGGCTTATATTAGAAGCAGGTCTTATTTTCAGGGAAACACGGTATGTTTAGACTTACAGGCCACTCTGACCAAGAAAGAGACTATATTATTAAACCATAACATAAGCCAAGACCAGCAAATGCCAAAAAATAAAAATAATAAAAATAAAAAAAGAAATAGCAGTTTTGTTTCCTCCACCCAGAGAATAAGCCTTACCCCAAAAACACATAAGTAAAGTATTCTGATGAAATGGTAAAAATAAGTTAATAAAGATTTTAGATGTTACTCTAGTATTAAACTACCCAATATCTCCATCTAGTGGTAGAATTTGTAATAACTAGCATTGCTACTAAAAACATGGTTTTATTCCTATTTAGTAATCAAAATGAACAAAGTGTTTAGAGCACCCACCCGAAAGATAGACTGATTAGCATAGCCTTGCTCAAGCTTTAGAGAGGTCAACTGAAATACTGTAGGTGAGGGGGAAACAAATCCCCGTTTCTCTAAAAGGTGCACGGTCTTGATTTTTCAACCCTGCCTAAGATGGCCTGAGATAGAATAAGTGATTACTGGTATATGGCAGGAAAGTCCAGTAACAAGCTGTGTGGGAGGTCATGTCCACTTTCTATGCCAACAGAGGCTGACACCCTTGCCTTCCATATTCCCTAGGGGCCAGTATTGTTTGTTCCTACCAGACCTGACTGGGGCTTTACTCTGACTAGTCTACTTGGATACCAAGCCTCTGATGCCAAACCTGGGAAGGAAACTGTGTGCCTTGCTAAAAGAGTTTAACCTTCACAATTCCTGGAGGAAGGCTAATCCCACACAAAGATTTCTCCCAAGTTCACAAATGCTACTCATGCAGTCTCTCGATAAAACAGACATTGGAGTCATCTAATTGTCAGATCACTCACGGACAACATACTTTTCCTCCACCTACCCTGCCAGAGGGAGGGGCTCATGGAAAGTAAACAATATCCCGGAAGATCAACAAATATGTGGAAAACTACAAAAACACTGATAAGTGTTCTCTTATCACTTCCGACTGAATGCATCTCTAGATTAATTCATCAGCTGGTTATGGTTAGCATACAAGGCAATAAGTTAAGAGTGCTCTATTCGCAGGAAACCTAACACCAACAACAAATGCAGATTCTGAAATAATGGTTCATCGCACACGAAGATGCAAACAAAAGTGCATCCCCAAACTAGACTACTCAATGAAATAGCTGATGTAAGAAGATAACCAATACAGGAACTCACAGAAAACTTAGATACCAACAGCTTCAAACCAAGTTACAATACTTATACACCCGAGGCGGCTCACTGATATCTAATCCAGACCTAATTGCAAAGGAATTTGCTTAGTTCTACAATAAAATTACACAACCTCTCAGTAGCCCCAACACACATTCATTGTCAAATAGCGACACAGATATTTCTAAAAAGATGTACACCTCCCCCAAAATTACCCTTCTACATGCTGTTTCTCTAGACTGCCCTATTGCCATAGAAGAAACCCTGCAGGCAAAGTCGTTGCCGGCCCACAAAGCTCCAGGACCAGATGGGTTCTGAAACTTGAATTACTGCGAGTAAATTACTACAATTACCCCAAAGCTATGCCAGCAAAGATCCTTACTCATCCGAAACCAGGAAAGCCCCCACAACATGGTGGCAATTTCCGTCCCATAAACTTTCTAAATTCGGACCTTTAATTATACGCAAAAATTTTAACCACCCAATTAACTCCGATTCTGGCCTCGCCAGAACAGGGAGGTTGTATTTCTCACAGACTGGTTTCTGACAATAACCACAAGGTACTCCTAATTTTCACCATAATCAAATGCAAAAGTATTCAAGGGGTGGCTGGACATGCTAACAGCTCCGACATTAATGCACAAAAAACAAGCCTAAACAGTTAACCGCCTTGGTTATACCTCGGAGGGACCGGAGTACTGACCCGACACGAATGCACACGCGGGCATTCTCTCTTGCCGAAACTCCGGGGACCCGTGCAGCCCGACCATGTGGCCTAACCCCCTGCTCAGGTCCCACAGTTACCTCCATGCCTCCAATAGCCCTGCAACCCCCTCCCCCCGTCTGGACCGGTGGGGGATATTCCGATCCCCACTGGGGAAGCTCACCTGCAACAGCGTGGTGCGCTGGGGATGACAGTTACTTCAAAGCCTCCATGACCTGGGGAGAGCACTGAGTGTCTCAGGCCCTGCACCACAGAATAGACTGACTTAGACACCAGGCTGGACGCAATATTCGCAACCTTCTGGCAAAAACTGGCCCAACAAATGCAGAAGCACACAGAAGGAACACCATGCCGCACAGACCCAAAGTCAGTAACACGTGCCCACAAAGCCTGCCAAACCGGGGATCTGCTGCAGCCGACCCCAAAAAGCCTCCTCGCCTTCTAAACCTGGGAACCAAGTTGCTCCTAGAACTGCAGTCTCTTGGGCCGAGGGCCCAAATAGGACCACCTACCACCCATACACCCAAATGGGCCCCCTGAAAATGTGCCCAAAGTCACAGGGCAGTGGCTCTCCTTACAACCTGGGCAAGAAGACCTGCGCAAGCGCAGCAATACCTCATATTGCATGCTACACACCTGGACTGTCAGCGTCTCTTGTTGGATCGTCAGGTGGAGTCAAAATGGCTTAGAGAGGACCTACTACCGTATGTGGAAAGAGGCATTGCTATGATGCTTATGAATGACTGAAATAGGCTGATTACTATAGTGAGTTAAGTGGTTTACTGGCACGAGCCATTCTAAGGCATGACCAGCTTGTTTGAGGTATATGCAGCCTGTCCAGCTGTGGCAGGGAAGATGGTGCCTCCATGACTTTAAGCTCAACTGTTACATTTAAGCAAGGCCAGACCTCAGGGCTTTAGGGGTGGCGGGACAGGGGATTCTGCGGGGGACCTGAGATGAAGGTCAACTGGAGCTATTTCTTGTAGCATCCTGCAAGGGAAAAATGAGTTAACCATGCAAAACTTTGATGCGAATTGAAATATCCCTTGTGTAGAACTGGCTTGCTAACTAGTGCCGACAGGCGAAGATATTAACTACCCAGTGACAGGTGAGGCCCTGCTAGTTGCCAAGGGGCTGTGAGAGGCTCTACCTTTGATTTGGGGCTGTGTTGGCCTCTCGGTGACGGTAAAAGAGACAATACGCGTGGCCGTGACATGTGAGGCCCTAGCCAAGACTCTACACAAGAGTATGCGAGGCTGAGTTGGGCGGATCCTCCGTTTTGAGGTGGGGAGTTGGCCGCGCGGAACCAGTATGTTCAATGTTTATTCGAATAAGGCCATCTCTTATCTCTAAAAGCCAGTTCTCTTACCCTTGGCAGGGCTGGTCTCTTTTGTGGATGAGCGTGAACATAACCGTACGTGTGAGCAAACTGGATAGAATCAGAGAGAGGAGGACTGGAAAAAGACACCTGATGAAACTACCAGTTGTGATGCAACCGAAGTAAGAAGGCAAATTCAGTGACTATCAGTAGGGAAAAGTGTGCTCTTAAGAGCGGAACCTGAAGAGGAGAGTTTAAATGTGGTTTATCGGTATGATAAATACATTATAATAGTTTACCTGATAGGCTTGGGATTGCAAATTGAGGGGGAAGGAAGGGAGGGAACTACTCACGTTCTCTTATACCACATACTCTAGGTGCACATAGCAATTTAGTATATATTTGTGCTCGGAATTTACTTGGTTATGGAATATGTTAGCAGATGCAGTGTTGGCTGAGGTGTGCTGAAACCAACGAACGAGTAGGCCTGTAATAAAAGAGGGCCTACTGAGGTGGTGGTAATGTAATAAGTGATGGGTGAAGGTGGGTGGGGTCAATCATCGTGAACAGCAGAGGTGAGTAAGGGTTCAGAGTTTAAGTAGGGGAATTAGTGTGTAACCTAGCGCTATTATAAAAACAGGAGTGTGTGGCCACCAAGTGCTATTAATTCGGGAACAGGAATCCCAAATGAACTGGACCAAAAATTGTAATAGCCTAGTGCGCATAAATCCTACCAAATGGATATGTGAATTTAAAACATGCAGTATATTTAAGAACTTTGGTAAAGTACTGAACTGTGACCAACACTGAAATGCACAGGTGAAGGTAGTGAGTGGAAAGCTGCAAAAAGCATGTTTAACTGAACCAAATGTCAATAAGTGCAGGAAAACTGAACAGAAAAGCCTGCATGAATGGAGTGAAATTCAGTGCATGCTGAAACGAACAGTGAACCCTGTACCAAGCCCTATGGTTTATAAAAACAAATGGTGAAGTTAAGAGAATGCACCAGCCGAACGGTTTTAAACGAAAGCTTAAGTGTCAGCATATAGGTTGGATTTAAACGAATGAACACATGATTCAACCAACGTATGAATGGGACAAGTAAACAAACGTACAGCTTAATCCAGACGAATGAATAGGATCAGTGAATGAACAGGCTATATGGGAACAAGCGGAAATCCGCGAACGTAAGTATTAGCACAGGAATTTTTAAACGAAAGCAAACGAACAATACACGTACATGCAAACGTAATGGGAGCCAATCCCCGCGTTTGGTAGGCCTGAACATGAGAACACCGAGAACGGGTTCCCACGAGTACATACGTAAGCGCGCCGGGTCTCGTGACCAGAAGCCGGCATCTGTGATACAGGAACCGGGTTGGAGGAGCTGCAGGAAAATTGTCGGGAAGGACTGAACTGGAAGTGATGGTTGTCGTGGCAATGTCAAGTCACTCGAACACGAAAAATGGCATAGGTACATAGAGGTGGGGTGAGTTTATAAAGGCCACAAATTCAGGCCTATAGAGAAATTACACACACATACTAATATATATATATATATACACACACACACACACACACACACACACACACACACACACATACATGGAGTGCAGAATTATTAGGCAAATGAGTATTTTGACCACATCATCCTCTTTATGCATGTTGTCTTACTCCAAGCTGTATAGGTTCGAAAGCCTACTACCAATTAAGCATATTAGGTGATGTGCATCTCTGTAATGAGAAGGGGTGTGGTCTAATGACATCAACACCCTATATCAGGTGTGTATAATTATTAGGCAACTTCCTTTCCTTTGGCAAAATGGGTCAAAAGAAGGACTTGACAGGCTCAGAAAAGTCAAAAATAGTGAGATATCTTGCAGAGGGATGCAGCACTCTTAAAATTGCAAAGCTTCTGAAGCGTGATCATCGAACAATCAAGCGTTTCATTCAAAATAGTCAACAGGGTCGCAAGAAGCGTGTGGAAAAACCAAGGCGCAAAAATAACTGCCCATGAACTGAGAAAAGTCAAGCGTGCAGCTGCCACGATGCCACTTGCCACCAGTTTGGCCATATTTCAGAGCTGCAACATCACTGGAGTGCCCAAAGCACAAGGTGTGCAATACTCAGAGACATGGCCAAGGTAAGAAAGGCTGAAAGACGACCACCACTGAACAAGACACACAAGCTGAAACGCCAAGACTGGGCCAAGAAATATCTCAAGACTGATTTTTCTAAGGTTTTATGGACTGATGAAATGAGAGTGAGTCTTGATGGGCCAGATGGATGGGCCCGTGGCTGGACTGGTAAAGGGCAGAGAGCTCCAGTCCGACTCAGACGCCAGCAAGGTGGAGGTGGAGTACTAGTTTGGGCTGGTATCATCAAAGATGAGCTTGTGGGGCCTTTTCGGGTTGAGGATGGAGTCAAGCTCAACTCCCAGTTCTACTGCCAGTTCCTGGAAGACACCTTCTTCAAGCAGTGGTACAGGAAGAAGTCTGCATCCTTCAAGAAAAACATTTTCATGCAGGACAATGCTCCATCACACGCGTCCAAGTACTCCACAGCGTGGCTGGCAAGAAAGGGTATAAAAGAAGAAAATCTAATGACATGGCCTCCTTGTTCACCTGATCTGAACCCCATTGAGAACCTGCGGTCCATCATCAAATGTGAGATTTACAAGGAGGAAAACAGTACACCTCTCTGAACAGTGTCTGGGAGGCTGTGGTTGCTGCTGCACGCAATGTTGATGGTGAACAGATCAAAACACTGACAGAATCCATGGATGGCAGGCTTTTGAGTGTCCTTGCAAAGAAAGGTGGCTATATTGGTCACTGATTTGTTTTTGGTTTGTTTTTGAATGTCAGAAATGTATATTTGTGAATGTTGAGATGTTATATTGGTTTCACTGGTAATATTAAATAATTGAAATGGGTATATATTTGTTTTTTGTTAAGTTGCCTAATAATTATGCACAGTAATAGTCACCTGCACACACAGATATCCCCCTAACATAGCTATAACTAAAAACTACTTCCAAAAATATTCAGCTTTCATATTAATGAGTTTTTTGGGTTCATTGAGAACATGGTTGTTGCTCAATAATAAAATTAATCCTCAAAAATACAACTTGCCTAATAATTCTGCACTCCCTGTACATACACACACACACACACACACACACACACTTTAAAAAAAAAAATTTCACCCCTAATTTATACCCTCAAATGTGAAGAAATGCATTTGATATGACATGTAAACATGCTTCATAAACAATCTAGATATTGAAAAACTTATTAAAAATATTGTTTTAATAGTGAAAATGTCAATTGAAGCCGAAATAGTCATATTGGGAAATATGTTCTAACCGTCATTTTTCCAGCCAGACACTGCAATTCTTCACAAATCCTAGTTAAGTGAATAGACATCATATAGAGTATGATCTGTATTGTGCGTGAGCAGTACCCTCCTTGAGACAGTAACACTCTTAAAGGACCACTATAGTGCCAGGAAAACATACTCGTTTTCCTGGCACTATAGTGCCCTGAGGGTGCCCCCACCCTCAGGGTCCCCCTCCCGCCCGGCTCTGGAAGGGGGAAAGAGGTAATAACTTACCTTTTTCCAGCGCTGGGCGGGGAGCTCTCCTCCTCCTCTCCGCCTCCGATCCGCCCCGCCGGCTGAATGCGCACGCGCGGCAAGAGCTGCGCGCGCATTCAGCCTGTCGCATAGGAAAGCATTTACAATGCTTTCCTATGGACGCTTGCGTGCTCTCACTGTGAAAATCACAGTGAGAAGCACGCAAGCGCCTCTAGTGGCTGTCAATGAGACAGCCACTAGAGGGAATGGGGGAAGGCTTAACCCATTCATAATTATAGCAGTTTCTCTGAAACTGCTATAATTATGAAAAAATGGGTTAAGCCTAGAAGGACCTCGCACCCAGACCACTTCATTAAGCTGAAGTGGTCTGGGTGCCTAGAGTGGTCCTTTAATAAACCTTAATTTATGCATCTATTTCCTGGCATCTTACCACATGAAAATGGCTAAAATTTATTCTATACGCAATTTTACTTTACTGTATGATATATGCAAGTTTCAGATTTACCTCTGTCTGGGAACAATGAAAAGTGCTCGAACTAGCTTCCTCCTGTTCGCTTTGGTGTTCATATTCATGCAAAAATCCATTGCAGCCTTCAAATGAAACAATCCCACATTAAAGATCTATACAATGCAAGGTTCTGCTACAGTGTATTATACCACACAGTACATATAAATATTAATAAATGGGCTTAGACAATACCTAGTACCTCAAATTTGTTACTAAAGTACAAACAGATACATCCTTTGTGTAATGTTGTACAATAGAGAGTTGAGCGCATAGGTAGAAGTCTTGGAAAATAAATACAAATTTTTATTTTATTTTTTGTAAAAAAAATTAACACACACAAAGGCAAAAGGATAAAGACAAAGCTAATGCTCTTCCTTCTCTAGTGGATGTCTTCCTGAAAGCAACTAGAGGTGCTTCTGCTGCATTGAGTTAATCTCGGTCACGTGACGTGGAAGTTCATAGAAAAGCATTGGATTCAATGCTTGTGAATGTGCATGCAGTGGTTTCCACACATGTGCATCAGCTCACCAATGATCCTCTATGAGGAGCATTAGTTTGGACTATCGCCAGAGGAGGCCATGCCTACTCAATTAAATTGTGGGTTGGGTGGGGAAAGGTGAGCAGCCAAAAGGAAGTCTCGTGCTGGAAAACGCAGGTAAAAAGCTTTATTTTATTACATTTATGAGAAAAGGCGAGGACCTACATAGCAAATGATAGCATACAGTAATAAGAATGCAAAACTATGGCAAACATTAAAAATGAAGAGGAGACACCCAAACATAATTTCTCCTATTTGTAATCTTTCTTTTCATTAATTTAAGCATCCAAACTTATATCTGAACTTTCTGCTTTTACAGAGGGTGTGTAGGTGGGATTCCCCTAGAGTTTCATTAATGGCTTTAATAAAAATGTTGCCCACAAATCTGATAAATGTTGGACATATTTTAAAACACTTATATTTCAGATTTGTGTTTGGAGCATTGCCATTATCACAATTATAATCTCTCAATATTAGAAGAAACAAATCAAAATTACCTTATCTATCAGGTCACGATTTACACAGTTAGGCAATTGTTGTATAAAAGCATCAACTATGAGCTTTAAATGGGAACCAGTGCTCGCTTCTTCATCTTCTTGTTCTAACAAAAACATAGTGGGGAGAAGGGCTCAATCAACAATATACAGTGTTTAGTAGGAATCAAAACTTACAGGACAAAAAAAACAAAAAAAAAACCCCACAATATTTTATACACACACACACACACACACACACACACAAATACTAATCAATCACCTTGCTCATCAAGCAGTTTTTTTGCAAGATCTTCGGCTTCCTCTACACCTTCCAGCTCCATGGCCTCATCATTAATATCCAGTGACTCCAGCTCAAGCTCCAACTCTTCAGTTGTGGGTATGTCTTTTTCTTTAGCATCTTTAGAACCTATAAATAAGAGATTAGTCAGACTAAGTCATGACCTTGCCCCCCCCCCCCCACCCCTCATGATGCCATGTCCGTCATGACAATATAAATGTGCTGACACACAAAATGTAATCACCTCCTGGGTCCCTGCGCATGGTTATCAAACTTTATGTTATTAAATCCAAATGGAGAAAAAAAAACAAAAAAAAACCCACAAATCTGATTTGGAAAAAAAAATAAATCTGACCATTTTTTCCAATCAGATTAAATTTGTGAATACTCAGATTTTAGTGAAAATTCCTGAGTGTCTCACCTCGTGTGCAATGATTTTGATATTGGTCGGCTATATGTAATGTGTGAAGTCTGCGGTCTGTGTGTGTCTGTGTTTCAGTTTCCCCCCACACAGATTTCTGCAGTGAAAAAATCTGTGATCCATTAAGGGTGAAAGTATCTGGTGATCTAGCGGGCAAGAGCTTGGTCTATAACCTCCAACGGTTGCAGACCACAATACCATACACTTCCTGCACGGACTTCCCAGGAACAGCCCTGCAACTTGCCTGTGGCAGGTCTAAAAGCCACCCTAAAAAAATAAAATGGTGCGTTGAACTGCATATCCTGGGCATCAGACGATATGGAATTATCACGTCCAAAAGCAAGTAGGAGGATTCTGACCTGGCTAGCACACGTGTAGATTAACGATCATGCAGATATTCCTCTAATATTTTTTTTTTTTCTAGAGTGCTTACTTTGTGAGCTCCGTTCGTTATCTTTGAATAGGATTGCCGGAACAAAAGCCTTCAAGTCAATCATATTCTCATAAAAATTTCTGGCATCCTCATCTTCCCAGATGCCTCCTTCCAAGTCATAATCCCCGGGCTTGCCAGGTGTGAAGATGTCAATGCCAGGTCCGTGTTCTAAAAAGTATTAAAAACAGATCAATAAAAATATTACATTAAAATGAAAAGGAAGATCAAGACATTACAAACTAAGTTGTAGGCAGAACACATAAAAAAGGTAGTCGCAAATAAAATAAATCTGGCGGCCAGATGCGCCTTTGCAGTGCCGTTGCAGCTCCTTAGTTACACCACTCCACGGGCATTTGGGGCAAGCTATCAATACCCTGCGTACGCCGGGTGAGGGCTTCTCTTTTTCCCCTCCCAGGATGATCAAGCTCTTTTCTATGGAAACGGGTACTTTTGTTTGACTTTTCTCTTCTTTCTTTCATTTTCTCTCCCTTTTATGTATGTTCTTGTTACAACATGAAAATGTGGCAGTGCATGCTTACGACTACGGCAGCTACAGCAATAAGGTCCATCTCAGCTAAGAGCGGCCTCTGCGTATGCCAAACCAATGTATGTTTATCTCACTGTTCTGACAATGGCACCGCTGGCTTCTGTGCAAGCCACACCATGCAGCCTACTCTGTATACTGATACATGCCACTGCTAAAATAAAAATTAAAAAAAAAAAAGGTAGTCGCCAAAATGACATGTTTTTCAAATGAGCATTTAACTAAAAAACAAAAACAAAAAACAAAAAAACAAAAACAGTTCTGTCAGTTAGAAATTTATATATAAAAAAATAGATATACTTTTTTCCCTTCAGGTAGACATTTGGAAGGACCCCTAAAGTTTTTCCTGTGTTGTATAGACATTTTAGCAATCTCTGAAAATAGACTGAGCTTAATGGAACACTAAAGATAGTGTTAGGAATACATAACTGTATTTCTAAAGTTAATCTCTGTGGATGCACAAGACTGTGCAATCACACAGAAGGGTGAACCACAGAAAAAGGGCAAAATGACTGCATTTTGATATCAATATATAGAGCAATGAAGACAGTTTTAAAAGTGGCAATAGAAGAAAAAAAAACAAAAACAAACAAAAAAAAAACACAATTTAGTAGATATAACCCCAATGAAACCATACATGTGTTCAATTCATTGGGAGCGTGTCTAATAACAGTTTGCAAATAATATTAAAGCAGCACTGTCATGCCGAACTTGCCTTTCCCCAATCAATTCCTCTTCTCTCCCTCTCTCCGGATCTGTTCTTCATTTCTTCCTGTCTGCTCTAGTTTTCTTAAAAAATGAAGACAAAGTAGGGACTATTTCTCTTCTGGAGGTTTCCTACGCCATTACCAGCTAAGGAGCAAAGTGTGCTTCGTTTCCGGTGGTCAGAGCGATTTTCCCACGATCCTTCGCTTTCCTCCCTGTTCCCATGATGCTTCCTGTCAGTATTGACCACGTCCTGTCACTTAGACAGGACGCCGGCAAAACTGCTGAATTGCGTCCTAACAGAACGAGTACAGTTTCTCCATTCATGTTAGAACGCAATTCGGGACTTTGTTCGGATCGCAATTTCATTCGAATGAATGAAACTCCAATCCTATACGTGCTGTGGCTGCCTCTTAGTAGATAGCTCCCTAATACCGTGGGAATTAGGGAGTTATCTACCAAAAGGCTGAAAGACCTAAATTGGTCTTTCAGCCACAATTACTAATACCAAGTAAAGATTACCTAGTATTAGTAAATTCTGCCCCTACTCACTATACTGCGAGTAGGGGCATGTCTAGTAAACAGTGACTGCTCACTATAAAAAAAAAAAATTTTTTTAAACCTATTGCCCCCACCCCTGAGCGGTGGGCGGAGGCCCTAAATTAAATTAGGGGGAGGGAGGGACCTATTGTCCTCCACCCCCGGCCCCCACACCTGAGCGGCGGGTGGGGGCCCTACATAACAATGAGGGGGGGACACCTACTGATGAGCAGTGGGTGGGGGCGACCTACTGTCCTTCTCTCCCCCACCCCCCCCCCCGAGCGGTGGGGTGGGGGGACCTACCATCCTTCCCCCCGGGCCCCAAGTGGGGGCCATAAAGATAATAAGAGGGGGGACCTACTTAAAAAGGTGACTAGGGGTCCCCTAGTCACCCACCCCTCCACCCAAATAAAAACTATCCCCTACCTACCCCCCTCACCCTAAAAATAGGGAGCGGGGAATAAAATAACTAATCTGTAAATAAAAAAAATAAAAATAAAAATAAATTACCAAAAATACAAAAAATGAAAGTGTAGGTACACTGGAAACGGTTAGCTAATGAAGACCAGGAAAAAGCAGAAATTTTAAATAACTATTTTTCTTCAGTATATATTAATGAGGATCCTATGGCAAGAGATATGCAAATGATTGCTGCAAAAACTTGCAGATAACTTGTGATTAGACAACCCGAGACAAAGTGCTACAGCAGTTAAAGAAAATTAACGTAAATAAAGCTCCAGGACCTGATGGTATTTACCCACGAGTACTGAAGGAGCTAAGTGGGGAAATAAGTGAACCTCTGTATTTAATTTTTTCAAGATTCTTTTGTTTCAGGTATTGTACCGGAGGATTGGAGGAAGGCAGATGTTGTTCCTATATTTAAAAAGGGTTCAAAATCCTTGCCTGGAAATAGACCTGTGAGCTTAACTTCTGTGACTGGGAAAATATTTGAAGGGCTATTAAGGGATAATATTCAGGAATTCATTACAAAGAACTTTGTTATTAGCAATAATCAGCATGGTTTTATGAAACATAGGTCATGTCAAACTAACCTAATTGCATTCTACGAAGAAGTAAGTAGAAGTATAGATCAGGGTGTTGCAGTGGATGTGATCTACTTGAATTTTGCCAAGGCATTTGATACGGTTCCTCACAATAGGTTAGTCTTCAAAACTAAAAGAAATTGGTCTAGATGAATATTCTTGTTGTTGGGTAGAACATTGGCTTAAAGATTGAGTACAACGAGTTGTTATTAATGGTAAATTTTCAGGCTGGACAAAAGTGGTAAGTGGTGTCCCTCAGGGTTCTGTTTGGGTCCACTTTTATTTAACATATTTATAAATGATCTTGAAATAGGCATTGAAAGCCATGTATCAGTGTTTGCAGATGAGAAAACTTTGTAAAGTAATAAAATGTGAGCAGGATATTGCATTGCTGCAGAGGGATTTGGATAGATTGGGGGACATGGCACTAAAATGGCAGATGAAATTTAACAGAGAAATGCAAAGTTAGGCACTTCGGGGTTAAGAATGTACAAGCAATTTACATCCTAAATAGTAGTGAACTAGGGATAACCACACACGAGAAGGATTTGGGAATTGTTATAGACAACAAATTAAACCGCAATATGCAATGTCAATCTGCAGTTGCTAAGGCCAGTAAGGTTTTGTCATGTATAAATAGGGGCATAAATTCTCGGGATGAAAATATAATATTGCCTCTTTATAAAATCGCTGGTAAGATCACACCTTCAATATGCTGTGCAATTTTGGGCACCTGTTCTAAAGAAAGATATCATGTCACTAGAAAAAGTGCAGAGACGAGCTACAAAATTGATAAAAGGAATGGAGCATTTTAGTTACGAAGAAAGGTTAAAAAAATTAAATCTGTTTAGTTTGGAAAAACGGCGCCTGAGAGGGGATATGATAACATTATACAAATATATTCGGGGCCAGTACAAACCTTTATCTGGAAATCTATTCATAAATAGGGCTATACATAGGACACGAGGTCACACATTTAGGCTGGAAGAAAGGAGATTTAAAGGTTTTATTACAATAAGAGCAATAAGGATATGGAATTCTCTGCCTGAAGAGGTGGTTTTGTCAGATTCTGTACAGATGTTTAAACTGCAATTGGATAAATACTTGCAAAAACATAACATACAGGGATATAATTTCTAATTAGTGGGGTAATAGCTGCTTGATCCAAGGAGACATCTGGCTGCTATTTTGGGGTCAAGAAGGAATTTTTTTCTAGTTTGTTGCAAAATTGGAAGCTCTTCAGACTGGGTTTTTTGCCTTCTTTTGGATCAACAGCATAAACACATGTGAGGAAGGCTGAACTTGGACGCATGTCTCTTTTCAGCTATGTAACTATGTAACAAACAAAAAAAATTTTTAAAAAAATGAACCCATGGAGGGTTCCGTGCAGACTGAGCTCTGCAGGGCAGGGGAAGGCTTATAAAGCCTCTAGGCTAAGAACACTGATTTTTTTTTTTACAGTGGCTGCTCACTGTTTACTAGACATGCCCCTACTCGCGGTATAGCGAGTAGTGGCAGAATTTACTTATACTAAGTCATTTTTACTTCGTATTAGTAAATGTGGCTGAAAGACCAATTTAGGTCTTTCAGCCTTTTGGTAGATAGCTCCCTAATACGGTGGGAATTAGGGAGTTATTTACCAAGTGGCTGCAAGATGCAGCCACAGCACGAATAGGATCGGCATTTCATTCATTCGAATGAAATTGCGATCCGAACAAAGTCCCGAATCGCGTTCTAACACGAATGGAGAAACTGTTCCTCGTTCTATTAGGACGCATTTCGGCAGTTTTGCCAGCGTTCTGTCTAAGTGAGAGGCCGTTCGGCAATACTGACAGGTGGCATCGTGGGAACATGGAGGAAAGCTAAGGATCATAGGAAAATTTCTATGACCACTGGAAACGAAGCACACTTTGCTCCTTAGCTGGTCATGGTGTAGGAAACCTCCAGAAGAGAAATAGTCCCTACTTTGTCTTAATTTTTAAAGAAAACTAGAGCAGACAGAAAGAAGCGAAGAACAGATCCTGAGAGTGGGAGAGAAGAGAAATCGATTGGGGAAAGGTAAGTTCGGCATGACAGTGCCGCTTTAAATAACTACCTTCAGCCACTGGTTTATCCTGAGGAAGTTCAGGTAGATTTTCATCCAAGAGATCAGCAAGAGATTGAGAGTTTGCCAATAGTTTCTGATAAGATGTTGCAAATTCTTCAAATTGCTTGTGTCTGTCTTCACTCAACTCCCCTTTTGTGTGGAGAATACGCCTGTACAAAAAAGAAATTACAATGAACTATAAAAAGAAATCAAACTGATTTATATTTGAAGTATATGAAATAAAGCACTTACTCCAGTAATATTCAATGCAAAATATAGGCATAGAATAATGCACAATCCATTATAAAGAAAAGCTGATTTGTGAATATTGTAAAAGCACTACAGAATATGCTGGCGCTATTCAAATACCAGTAATAATAATTAGGGATGCACCAAAACCTCAGGATGACCTTGGCCAAAAATTATTTTTCCGCAAATGATTTGTGTAGGTTATGTACGGTGTGTATGGAATATAGTGAGGTGTAGGAAAGGGATGTAGTGCATATATCTGTGTAGGTTATATAGTGTGTGGGGTGATAGGGATGTAGTATGAGGGGCAGGGGGGAGAGCGTGGGTGACAGAGTGAGTGACTGAGGGAAAAGGTGACTGGTGACAGAGTGACTGAGGGTGGATGCCCCCCCTTCATTCCCTGATGGTCCAGTGGTCTGTCTCACCGAGGTAACCCACAGCATTGCTTTGATTCAATCACTGTACTGACTCTCTCCCCGGAGAAACGGGAGGGGCCTCTCACCCGGCGGCAAACAGGGCAAGGGTCCCCCTCCCAATGTCAGGTACTGATAATGGACCAAGGACCTGATTTTCGGCAGATCTGGCCCCATTTTCGGCCAAAATGGAATAGGCCCATTTTCAGCAGCCGAAATTTGGGTGCATCCCTAATAATAATAATAATAATAATAATAATAATAATAATAATAGACCAACAACCTGCAGCTCAAATATTCAAAATAATTCTACATTAATTGAAAATTATGGTATGTCCTTGGTCATGAGAACAGTAGAATATAGAATGTGCTTGCATAAAGTCCTATCAATAAGAGTAAACAAACCGGCAAAAACAAACTTTCTCAGAAGCATGCTACATTATAATTTTGTGATAAATAATAGTTTATGAAGTTACACAGAGTTTAAATTACATACATAGTCGTGGGTCAGCCGATCGCTCTCAGCCAGTTAACCAATGGGAGCTCCTGGCTCTACTGTGTTTGTAATAGAGGCAGGAAGTTGTGCTCAGAGGACTCCAGGTAAGAAAAACTGTTTAACTACTTACAAATGGAGCACCAGGGCATTTCTGGCACCCAGAACTGTGCTTGGAGTGTTCCTTTTAATTTGGAAAAGCAGTTCAATATATTGCGTTACATGGCAACAAAGTTTTAGCATGAAACCCACAACACTTCAGAGGAATATCGTAAGCACTACAGTCGACTGGCAGCAGGCTGCTGGTGCCATGGGTCTGTGTGAAACCAAGTGGTGTCTGCCACAGTATTGCTAAAGTAGACATTTCACTGGTTTTTAATCAATAAATTCCTTCCAACTATGGAAGAAAATGACATTAACAAAGAAGTGGAACTTCCATACTAGCAATTTTGTGGCAAGACACAGCTGCCCTTCTGTGTCAAAATGTTCAAACCATTTTATACAGGACTGAGGTTGGCATCAACACCAAGTTGGCAACATAACCATTACAATGATCTTATGTAATTATGGTACATTTACTGCCCCTTTCAACACTACAGGTGTATCTGTACTTTTATCAGAGCATACCATAATCAGGGCTCGACAAATCCCAGGCGCCAGGTTGACTAGAAATTTTGCCCTGGCTTCTGGGATTTGTCAGCCTTTTACCTCAAGTGGCCGGATGGGCAAACAATGGAGCCGACCCGCTCAGGAAGCTGTGCAGCCGGCCGGCTCAGGAAGCTGTATAGCCATCTGCCCTGGGAGGTATGTAGGCGGCCGGCTCAGGAAGCTTTCTAGTCAGCGGCAGGTTGGGGCAGCGTGCGAAGGAGCAGTCTTCCTGCAGCTCCTCTCGGCTCCCTCACTCTGTGTATATTCATGCCGGGAGCCAGAATATGACATTCTGGCCCCGGCATCACTGCAGACAATGCAAGGGAGCAGAGAGGAGCTGCAGGAAGGTGTGTGTGCGTGCGTCTGCCCACCTCCGATCACATGATTGGTGTTTTTGCTTACTTGTCAAACCAGAAAATACTAAACACCAACTTACATCCAAAAAAGTGCTAGGTGAGATAATTAAATACAAAATGCAACTTAACATACACACATATATATATATATATATATATATATATATATATATATATATATATATATATATATACACACACACACACACACACACACACTTATTTATTTGAGTATACAAGCCCCTTGAGGGTGCCTACCCCCGATGGCATTGGAGGACTAGAAGAACTTCTAAATCCAGAACAAAATGCTTAGGACCAGGCCTATCCTGGCTTTATTTTAGCTTTTCTTATTGAATTCAAATAAATGGTTTCCTTGATTCCACCATCTTCTGGTTCCTAGATCTAACTATCAATAATAGGAAATAGGTTCTTCTAGTCCCCCAACACCATATGGGAGGCACCCTCAAGGTGATTTTATACTCCATATCTTGGAAGTAAAAATTATTAGTGTGTCAGTTTTCTGTTATACTTGTATTACACCATGTATTTTAAATTTTTAGGTTGTACAGCTGTATCATTTTGTTTTCTAAATATTTATAAGTTGTCAAACCACACTGAAATTGTCTGACTACTAAAAAAGTGGGGAGAGAGGAAAGAAAAAGTCTGTCCCAAATGTATAGCAAAGGAAGGAAGGGAAGTCCCTGTATGTTTTATAAAAGTCTGACTACTTACCCAGGGAAGACACCGTGGCACTTTGGTACCATAACCACTACAGCAGGCCTGCATCTATAATCTGCAGAATTTAAATTTCAGCCTACATCATACGTGCATATTGGATGGCTTTCTACATAGATTTTAGCTCCATGAGAGGACCCAAAAGACAAACTAACATTTACCTGTTCTGGCGCTCTATATTCTGCAACTCTCTGTGATCCCTCTTCAAGTGCTTGGTCAGAGATGTAAAATATTCCTTCAGCAGGTTTTGAAAGGGTTGCTGCTTCTCTGGACTGATAATCTCACTCGGAGGGAAGTTGAGATTGAACTTTTCTGCTGCACACTTTACCCTTCTGGGCACCAAGCCCGCGATGTCATCTCCGCAGTGACGACAAAAGCTAATAACTACCGAAACATGTGTGTGAGATTCACGATCAGCATTAATTATGTTCTTTAGCTGCTCATAAATTAAGGAAAGGCCTTCTTTATCAGTAAAGATACCAATGATGGTTAGCTCAGCAATGAAACGCAAGTCTGTTCTTAGCTTGGTAATATTTGGAGTCTTCTCTTCTTTTCGGGCCTCAAAATGCTTCTTCCAAACCTGAAGTAGTGATTGGGCAAAGTCAGCATAGCGCTGGTGAAAGAGTGAACACAGGTGTACTGCACAATTAACATCAGAGATTTTCAGCTTTGCTTCCACTATCGAAGCAGCTGCTTCAGCTATGTATTTGCTCAAATTGAGGCCATTGAAATCATGGGATAAGGAATCCCTCTGTTGCTCTGTCATCGTTTTGAGTTTCTTTACAAAGGCAGTGTTTTTCTTGAGGCTAGAATCCAGCCTGCTAAAGAAATTCTCCTCTGGGCGGTTTTCTGGTGCATTTTGATTTTTACTACGCAGTTCTTTCCTTGCTTGGTGTCTCTCCCATGCTTCTTGGTGAAGCTGATGTGCTTCTTCTTTCTCTCTGTAAAAAATGAATAGATTACATAGTAATATAGTAAATGCAGAATATCAGAGAAAAGAAGAGTGATGTGTGACTGTTCTATGTCAGTTCCTAACGCTATGAAAACCAAAGCAAAGCAATGCAAGAGTTAATGGATTTACATACATATACGGGCTATGTTCAAGCATACCATGTAAATGAAAATAAAATGTACAACTACCTTTAGGATGTGCTAAAATAAAAGGACCACTATTGTGCCAGGAAAACACTCGTTTTCCTGGCACTATAGTGCCCTGAGTGTGCCCCCACCCTCAGGGTCCCTCTCCCGCTGGGCTGGATGGAGAGGAAGGGGTTAAACTTACCTCTTTCTCCAGTGCCGGGCGGGGGACTGACTCTCCTCCTCCTCGGCTGAATGCGCGTCAAGAGCCGCGCGCATTCAGCCAGTCTCATAGGAAAGCATTCACAATGCTTTCCTATGGACGCTGGCGTCTTCTCACTGATTTTCACAGTGAGAAGCACGCAAGCGCCTCTAGCGGCTGTCAATGAGACAGTCACTGGAGGCTTGGATTAACCCATTTATAAACATAGCAGTTTCTCACAATAGAGGGGTATGGGGCACACAGCATAACACCCAATGGAAGGAATTAAGAAGTTATGGCGCTTAGACCAGATATTATTCCAAAAAGATATGGAAGGGCTGCGCCAAATAAGGGTAGATAGTCCAGTAAAGTATTGCTAGGGTGCCAATAGATGTCATTTTAACCTTTCCTGGTTACTTTTACTTCCACTGGCAATTTTAAAGTTCCAGTACTCCAAGAAATCCTAGGTGGGGATCATACCACCGGCGCCTAACCGGCACTCTATCTTTGTGAGTATTATTTTATTTTCTCTACTACTCTCTTCACCTATCACAATTGAGAGCACTATTGCTGCTTTTTATTCTTCTATATTGGAGCCTTGGATCACCAGACGCTGCTGACGGACGTATCGCCGCTACATATCTTATAAGCGGGGATTATACCGCTGTACGCTATCCACACCAGAGCTGGCCATAGCTACCTCAAATGTGAGTTTTTTACCTCTTCTTATCTGCACATTGAACCACATCAAAATTGAGAGCACTATTGTCGCTTTCTGTCTTTCTTTTCCGAGTTCTGGACTACCAGATGGTGTTGACGGAGACCCCCTCCCTACATATCCCATAAGCGGGGATTATACCACTGTACGCAATCCACACCAGAGCTGGCCATAGCTCTCTTGAATGTGAGTTCTCTACTTTTTGTTACCTATCACACCCTGAACTTTCATACTATACCATTAGTCGCCTCTACCTCTCTTGTATTTACATATACGGAACGGTCTACACTAGACGCATCCAGAGAGGAACTCTATCAAGTATCCTAGACCATCTATTGGCACCCTAGCAATACTTTACTGGACTATCTACCCTTATTTGGCGCAGCCCTTCCATATCTTTTTGTATCTATCCACCGAAGGACCCGAGGGGTTTACCTTCATTTGGGTTGCTGCCTACCTTGACTAATTTTGTGATTACTAGCGCTGAATTCTTTTTGTGTTTATCTACAGATATTATTACAGTAGTTTGTTCTTCCCTGCCTGAACTAACAATTCATATTATACACAAACCTATAAGCCGCTTACTTTAATTGGGAAGCAGCTTCTTCCTGTTTGTTTACAAATTCTTCTTCCTGCTTCCTTCTCTCTTCTTCATCTACATTTTTTTCTTCTTGTTCTTTCCTTTTTTGCTCCTCTTCCGCCTTCACTTGATCCTCTTCTCTTTTCTTGCACTCCTTCTCTTCTTTCTTCCGTTTGTCATCATCAGTTTTTTTCTTCTTTTCCTCTGTCAGCTTAGATGCTTCTCGTTTTGAAGCAGCTTTCATTTCATCCTTGGATCGCTCTCTGTTTATAGTCTTTTTGTCACTGTATTCTTTGTCCTTTGAGCAACCACTCAGATCTTTTTCATCCATGTTTACAAGCTTTTTACGTTCAGCGGGCATTATCTGAACAAGAACACCTTAAAATACAAAATCACATTAGCAATTATAAAGTTTTGTGCCTACTGTAAACTTTTACAAAAACTATTGAATTAAGAGTAATATTCTACTACATTTTCATTAAATACCTTTAACTACTGCAGTCATGTATTTTTCCACAGAAGAAAATAAAAATATGATCTATGCCAACAGGTTATGCTGAAGTATTCTTGTGCAGCTTGTTTTACAGTAATAAAGAACAGACATATCTAAGAGGATTAAGCAATAAACACTTTTAGTGTACTTAAAGTTCTGAATGAATCCCTGAATTGTAATACTATGCAAGAATTCCCTAATTTGTTACAGAATTGCAGTTTAAATTCCTGAAATGTGTTTTGAGTTAAAAGGTCATTATCGTCACCAGAACAACTACGCCTTAATGTAGTTGTTCTAGTGAGTATAGTCTGTCTCTGCAGGTATTTCAATGTAAACACTGCAATTTCAGAGAAAAGGCAGAGCTTGCATTGCCCCGTAGGGACACCTCCAGTGACAGGCACTCAGATAGTCAGAGAGGCTACGTGTGTCAGTGCATAATTTCCCTTTAGAGATCCCTTAGCTGAGATCAACAGAATTGACAATCTCAAACAATCCAATAGGTAAGCATTGGATTTGCTGAGATCGCCCATTCAGATGATGTCGGCCAAGGAGGTGGATAAGAGGCAAAACCAGCACCGGCAGACACTCGTGTAGCTGGAATAAAGGTAAATAAAATACCATTTTAGGAGGGGAGGGGGGGTGAAGCCACTTAAGTAGTTAAAAATGATATGTTCGGGAATACACGTTTGTGTTCCTTTAAAGGACCACTATAGGCACCCAGACCACTTCAGCTTAATGAAGTGGTCTGGGTGCCAGGTCCATCTAGGATTAACCCTCGCTGCTGTAAATATAGCAGTTTCAGAGAAACTGCTATGTTTACATATGGGTTAATCCAGCCTCTAGTGGCTGTCTCATTGACAGCCGCTAGAGGCGCTTCCGCGCTTCTCACTGTGAGAAGACGCTAGCGTCCATAGGAAAGCATTGAGAATGCTTTCCTATGGACTGGCTGAACGCGTGCGCGCGGCAGTGCGCATTCAGCTGATCCCATTGTACAGCGCTACGGAATTTGTTGGCGCTATATAAATAATAATAATAATAATAATAATAATAATAATAATAATAATAAGAAAGGAGGCGGAGAGTCCCCGCCGCCGAGGGAGCCCGGCGGTGGAGAAAAGGTATGTGTTTAACCCGTTGCTTACCCTAGAGCCCGGCGGGAGGGGGACCCGAAGGGTGGGGGGGACCTAGAGAACCTATAGTTCCAGGAAAACAAGTATGTTTTCCTGGCACTATAGTGGTCCTTTAATATTCAACTTGGATACAGATATGTGCTCACTTGGGCTGAAGCAATTCTGTGTCCGTTACAAAAATTAGCCTTCAACAGGTGCCTGCAATGCCCTGTTTGGAACAGATACATGGTGTCACTGTGGTTATTATGTGTGGGGATTATGCTCACTATACTCAGACACTTCTATATTCCTTTGGTATGTCTAGTTAGACGCAGTCGCAGGAACACAACTAGATTCCTGGCAAAATTCTAGATTCAGAGTATTTGATATTTTTATTTCTATTTGCCACTGTCACTCCTATTGTATGTGACAAAAAAAAAAACACACACAAATGCAATGCTATCGCATACTGATGTGCTACCTAGGCATCCATGTTTCAATTATATTAGCTTTTTGCTGTACAAATAACATTTGGTAGCGGGGGGCTCTTAAATAATAGTTTCTTACATTAATAGAAATTATAATCATTTAGTATGTAAATTATTTCCACATGTTACCAGTCCAAAGCTTAGATAACTTCTCTACTGGGTGTGCCATTCTAAGCGCATGCCATACTTCTTCTTTTACTTTCACCCTAAAGCAATTTACTCCTGCCTCACCTCTAATCTAGTCTAGCCATACTAGAACTTCTACTGTACATGGAACATACTTGCATAAAAGGTAGACTTTTGGTTAACACTTAAAAACAAATGGCCTGGAGATCTAGGACAAGGCAACAATGGAATTCCCCAGGCACTCAAAGTGTTAAAGCCGCTGGCAGTTTTAATGAAACAAAAAAGAACAGTAATGTTTCGACCTTCTAAGAGGTCTTTTTGAAAAAAAAAAAAAAAAAAAAAAAAAAAAAAAAAAAGGGAACAGAGTTACAGCCGGGTCAGGATTATTAAAAACAGGAATCATGATAAAATAGCCAGGTCTGGACAATGGAGATCTAGAATAAATTATAGGCAAGGCAGGCCAAAACCATACGGCTATTAGTGTGCAAAAACAACCAAAGGGGGAAATAAAATAAAAGGTCTACATTATGAAATCAAAACATCATTTGGCATTTAACTGAGAATTCTAGAACATTTACATGTTATGTTATGACACACAGTTGATGCTACTAGACTTAACTTAGAGGAACAGTACAGTGCAGTGGTTCCCAAACCAGTCTTCAAGGCACCCTTACCAGTCTAGGACTTAGGGATTACCGAGGTGTGACTCCGGACTACAAACAGCATTGGGAGACTATTGTGCATACATGGCAAACTGCTGTGCCAATCAGCATCTCCTCATAGAGATGCATTGAATCAATGCTTCTCTATAGTGATTCTTCAGCATCTCCATGCAGATCGTGGAGACACTGAACATCAGAGCACATTTTGCAACACTGCCCCAGGAAGCACCTCTAGTGACTGCCACAAGAAGTATTCCAAGGCAGGAATGTAAACACTATATTTTCTCTGAAAAGGCAGGGTTTTACATCAAAATGCATGCAGGGATATACTATACACACCAGAAGAACTACATTGTTTTAGTGTTTCTGGTGACTACAGTGTCCCTGAAGGAAATTGCTTCAGTTTCAATAACACACATGGAAGCATAGAACCCAACATCATTGCTGCTGCTGACACTAAGAATAGCACAGAGCATCAAGGAGATGTCTTAGCAATCTAGCTGTTTTTTCAAATACAATGCTCTTAACATTTTGTATGACTAGGTTTCATTTTCTATCAAAGTGAAAGCACTTACGAGCAGGACTAAAGTCAACTTTTGTACCTTAAAATTTACTGGCATGTTTCAATTCCTCATTTGAACATCATTCAGAAAAAGTCTATTTAAGTACAATTAATTTCATGACTTACCTTTCAGCTTTCATGAGTTCACAGTTACTGAGTATACAAGACTTCAAGCTCTGTAAAATATAACAAATGTATTTTATCAATACCAAACCAGATGACAAATATGAAATACTGTGTATTTATGAATTTATTTGTTGCATCTTTATTAGGGCCAGAGGTTCCCCTTACTAAGATTTGATAGAGTGTCATATAATATTCGGTATCAATCACAAAGCATATACAGCTCTAGAGTGAATTAAAGAAATTTGACATTTTCATAAAAGGGAGGAGTGGACAGCAATGACATTGCCAGCTAGCAAATGATGGATCAACAATTTAGAGAAAACATGTTCCTCTCTCCTCCACCATAAAGATAAGCAAAAGACTTTCGGAGAGAAATGGTGCTAACTGGCAGAAAAGTGTTTATCAGAATATCAGATGATAAACAAAATTTGCTGATCCCCTACCTTCAGTATTATATCTATTGGTGTCCACCATTGTAAATATTGTATTTTTTCCTGAGCTGAAGGTTTACTTCATGGAAATAATTACAAGAAATGTGGGAGAGAAAAAAAAACACACAAAAAAACAAACCTGTATTATTTTGGATCATAGATGCTGCCCCTGCAGTCTTGCTAAAGTAAACAGAGCAATTTCCGAGATGGGCAAAGTATGCTAACACAGGGTGTGTGTTCACTGCTTCTCAATGACAAGATGACTATAAAGGAACTGTATTTACAATAATAAACTTTACATGTCAAAACCTAATGTACGCAAGCCTTTTATAAAAGATGTTCATTTCTTTCCCCCAAACCAAATTTGCAGTCAAGTATCATACTCCATACCCAGCGTATTCCTTTTTAAAAGTGAATTCATAATGAATCTAGAGCTGTTACAAAGGTCTGTGGCAGGATTTCTGTTCAACCCACGTTGACCCCTACTCCCACAATGTGCACCAAGGACATTCAGTGTCAGTGTCTTAGCAAATTATAGGGCAGT